TGCTGAGGGGAGCAGCGGGCGGGTCAGGAGAGGTCTGCCACACCATGTGGTCTCCTCCGGGGCAGGCGGGATTCGAACTTATGCGGAAGTGGCTTTAGCTTCTCAGTGCAGTGCTTTAACCCGCTGTGCCACCAGGGAGGGCCTATTTTTATATTTTAAAGTTAGATGTGTTTCCTATAGACAGCATAACACTGGGTTCTGTTTTTAATCCATCCTGCAACTCTGTGTCTTTTGACTGATGAGTTTAAGCCATTTACATTTAGAGATCATATTGATATACTAGCACCAACATGTACCATTTCGGTCCTTTTGTATTTCGAACTGCTCTTGTTCATTCTCCTGCTGGATTTGGTTTAAGGGTTTCTGGTAGTATCTTTTGGAGTGGGGGTTTAGTCATGACGAAATTGTGGAGTTTCTAGTTGTCTGAAAATTTCCTTATTCTTTCTTCGTAGAGGAAGGAGAGCTTTGCAGGATAGACTATTATTGGTTGGCATTTAATGCTTTGGAGTTTGTTGAGTATGTCCCTCCACTCTCTTCTTGCCCATAATGTTTCTTCGGAGAAGTCTGATATTATCCGGATCAGTTTCCCTTTATAGGTTATTTGTTTCTTCCCTCTTGTAGTTCTCATTATGTTTTCCTTGTCTTATATTCTTGGTAGTTTTACTATAATGATTCTTGCTGTATTTCTCCTGTCATCATGGTAGTTTGGTGTTCTTGCTTCTTGGATGTCTACTTTCATCTCCTTCTTCATATTAGGGGTGTTCTATTATCTCTGTGAATATTTTCTCTGTTCCTTGACCTTTCTCTTCACCTTCTGGGATACCTATAACTCTGATATTTCCTTTCTTTATGGTGTTAGTTAGCTCTTGAAGTGTTTCTTCGTTCCTTTTCCTTTTTACTTCTCTTTCATTTTCTTTTTTTTAATTCTTTTTGTGTCTGTCTTCAAGAGTGCTGATTCATTCTTCCATGTCATCTGTTCTGTTTTCATTACTTTTCCCATCATTCTTTACCTCCTCAGTGGCCTTTTCATCGCTTGCATTTCTTCTATTTCCTTTTTTAATGTCTCATTTTCTTTCTTCAGTTCGTTGCATGCTTGTCTCATATCTTTTTTTCATTTTATTTCTTTCATTCATTTTCTTGTTTGCATTCTTCAATTCCTTGATGGCTTGCCTCATATCTCATCTTCTCTCTCTTTTTTTTTTTTCCTTCTCATCTTCTTTTTGTTTGTTTATCATGATGATTCTCAATTCTCTGTCTGGTAGGGTAAGTAGTTCTTCTATTTCTTTGGTGCTTTCTGATGACTGATCTTTTTGTGTCGAATTTTTCCCCTGTGGACTTGCTTGGGTATTTGTCTTCTTTTCCCAGTTGTGTATTTTCTAATACTTTCTATTTGCTGAGACATGGTGTTGTTTTTAATTGACCAGCAATTTTTTTTGGATGTTCTTTCTGGGATGGCTAAAGGACTTCCAGACACTTCAGCTATGGAGTGTATTCTGAGTTCTGCTATTTTTCCAGCCCCCACTGTGTGTAATTGTGTCTGTCGTCTCAGCGGGTAGCAGTGAGGGGTCTCTTGTGGTGTTCAGCCTCTTCCAGTAACGAGTCCTTGTTTCTGGAAGGTGCCTTCAGATGTCCCTGGTTCCCTCTATGTTTGTAAGTGCTCATGGGGGGCATGATGTATTAGAAGTTTTGTAGGTCTCCTTGGAGCTGGGCCTGTGGTTTAGTTGGTAGCTGGCATTTTTATTTTCTAAGTACTGTGAGCCTTTCTAGCTCACAAGTCTTCTGGCCTCTTCTGTGTGTGTGTGTGTGGGGGGGGTGCCTCCCCCTGCCATAACAGGAGTGCAAGGGAGTGAAAGAGGCTGCAATCCTCCCAGTTGAGCAAGCTGCCAGTCCTCCCTCTGAGCTTCCACGGCTCTTTGTGTCTACTCCAAACTGTCTCTCCCTAATAAGTGCCTCTCTACTGCCTGAGGTCCTCTCACGGAGCCCAGCTGTATCTCTTTAACTCCAGGGTTTTACCACAGTTTTTATGGGTAGATGTAGTAAGCAGGTAGACCCCTTAGCAAGTCTCCCCGTTTGAGACACTTCCTAGGGCCTCTCTATGTTGAATGTGCCCATAGCAGATTGTTAAAGTTTTTGCATTTTCCAGTGTTGGGTCTGTGGTTGAGTCTTGTCTAACCATTTTTTTTTTTTTACTCCCCTTTACCTCAGGGTAAGGTTTGTGAGTCTTGCTGACTACGCCTTAAAAATTGCACCAGGACCATACCCTAATGTCGCCTAGTCTCAGTTCTCTGTTGTGGGGGGCAGGATATGCAGGTAGGGCTAGAGGTACCCCAATTGCCAGTTCATCTTCTCTACCTCCTGGGCTTCGAGTAGAGCAGTTGTTTTTTTTTTTTTTCTTCCTTGTCCCCACCACCCCCATAGTTTGGGATCCACTCACCTAGCTGTGTTTATATCCAGGGCTTTATTGGGGCTGCTGGGCAAAGAAGGGCAACACATCTGTGGCGTATCTGGGCACCTGGGCACTCCCAGAGCTGAGCTGCAGTCTTTTCCCACAATTTGGTTTCCTCTCCCTAGCTGAGTTGTCTCAGTTTATCTCCAAAGCTGTAGCAGGGCTGGGGCAAAAAGCAGCTGCCAAAGCCTCGCTGTAAGTCTCCCTCTGCAGCACTTCCTGGTCTCTGGGCACCCAGGGCGTTTTGTGATCATAGCTCCCCAATTGTGGCTCTCCAAAATTTTTGTTTCCCTCAGTTATCTTCCTTCTAGTGAGTCCAGGATGTTCTCATTTTGGTTAAACTTGTAGTATGTAAGTTTTCTGTCCATTTTTTTTAATCTTAAAATCCTAAAGTGCTTGGAGGCAATGATTTTGGTGGCTTCACTCTGTCACCATCTTGCCTCTCTTCCTTTAGTAAGTGTTTTATAATTATTACTATGCTTCAACGTATATACACTGCTGTGACTGTCAAGACAATTAGACCAGGCATGGCTAAGCCAACACATGAGGCACAGAACACGCCAGGTCTTTTTTACAGCTGTATCCATCTCAAAAGCCACATGTGCATCTCTGCCATGTCACAGTGTGTGTGCAGCATTTTTATCTCTGCACATACTACTGGGAAGCATTTTATAAGGTCCTTGTCCACGTGAAGCTATATAAGTAAATGCATTTATCTCTTATTCCCCGAGAGAAGAACTAGAGAACTCTGAGAAGATGGAGGCTGGAGTGCACTTCCCCAGCTGATCCCGTCCTCCTTGATCTGCTCTCCAGGTTAAGTGAAAGGCATCTGTCAGGATACTAGAAAAGGACTAAGAAAAAAAGTTCTTGGATTTTTTTTTTTTCATTTTTTCCCTTTTTTTCCCTCTGTGTATGTTTTTTACTATGTATTTTGCTATATTACTTCATTATGAAATGAAGATCAAAAGCAAACCTTCTAGGTAATTCAGCAAAAGGCAAAATACGTGGTTTCTTGGTGGGTAAGTCAGCTGTGTCAATTTTCTGCTTAACATTTCTCATTGCCTGGAGTATGTATCACTATTATCTGAGTCACCTCAGGAAAACTAGTTTACAGTCACTCTTCTTACCTTTTTCAGAGGAAGTGTAATATATTCACATATCATCATCTAAGTAAGATCTTAAAAGCCTCCACATTAATTTTTCTGCTTCTCTCTTCTCTTAAACAATAATTATTTGAGTCTTTCCTGAATCTTTTCCCATGTTCTCTCAGGCACCTTAGCTCTAAGCAGACTTATTACCAAATACTCTTATTTCTAACACTATTATTAATTCTAAGTCTTGACATGATTTACCTCATTGAATATTATGTCAAAAATTTTATTTTTCCTGTACCACGCATTTCCTGCATTCTCTAACTGCACTCATATTTTAAGAACGGTATCAGCTGTCTCTTCTTTAGGAAAACTTTCCCAGGATTCCTCATGGAAGTTCTCTTTGTCTTAGTAACTTAAGGCACTTTTATCCTAGAATATGGGTATATATTTTATAAGACTGTAAGTACTTGAGCAAAGCAAACCTTTCCCATAAAGCTCACATTACTACTACAGCTAGTTAAATAACTTAATCACTAAATATATGTATGCAAATTTATACATATGCCCCTCTTATTGACCTTTTTGACTCATCTTGAAAAAGCAGAGTTTTGAAGCAGAGTAAAGCCTGGTTGCTGGCACACAATAGCATTCAATAAATATCACCAAATGCAAAAGTCAAACTCTAAATGGCAAAACATGTAACTTCCTGAAAAGAGTACCTTGCTCTTGGGTGGCGGGCTGTTTGTGCTCTTGTCTGTGTGAATGCTGGTAGGAGATACAGCAGCACCGAGGTTGCCTTGGGGTATGCCTGGGAGCTTTCCTCCTGGAGAAACCTGCATTGCAGCTAGCTGGGCAGCATATAACTGCTACAGAAGAAAAACAGAGACAAAGTGAGAGACAAAAATGACTATCAGTAGTGAAATAAATGCAGATCTCAGAGAGCACCTATATTCAGATGTAGTAACTTTCCTATGGGTATTTTATGTAGTGCCATGGAATATTAAAAAAAAAAAAAAAGTTGTCACCTTCAATTTCATGACTTCCTTCTCAGGGGAAGAGTGAGAGACAACACATACAAGGGATTTCAGCTTCAGTATGTGCAGGAACTCCAAGCAAATAGAGGTCATTCATATTTACTCTTTCCCAATGTTTACAAAAGGCCAAGGATATCACATTACAAAAGAATGCAGCTTCATAAACAAAGTAACTTTCTTATAGTCCATATTGGTTTAACTTTCTTATAGTCCATAGCCCTTCTTTTTTTCACTTGCTGAAATGGTCATCTATAACAATTTTTTCCTGATCATCAGTTGCATACCAATACAGAAGACACTGAGACAGACTGGAAGGAGAGCACACTTGAACAACATTATCTTGTTAGTCTACCTACATTGATAGAAATTAATTGGATGCTTGCCAGAAGCCCACTTTACTTCATGATACATAAACAGGAACAAACCTGAAATTATCTGGAGATTCAGGGTTTAAAAAATACTGTCTACAACTACACACTTTTCTACTAAGCTGTTTACTAAATGACTAATAAGAAATTCTTCAACAAGTCCAACTTCATATAAAAGAAGATTTTACTTTGATAATGTTAACCATAGGATGTAATATCTTAAAGCAAGAAGTTTGTGTTAGATTCAAATAATCACATCGAACATTAAGATTAATGCACTTTTTATGTCTGCACTTAGCAGTTGATGAAAATTTTAAAATCTCACTGAGGAAACAACTAATCAAATATGTATTTCAATATACATACTTATATACTTATTAAAATACACATATAAATTCATCCCCATTTCCCACTTGTCTAGAGATTCCTCTGATAGTTTTTACCATGCAAGCTGAATCATCTGTAATGAAATGACTGATGCTAAAAGGAAAAAAAGGAGTCAAGGAAAAGTAGCATAAGAAAGTTCTCTGGATCACCTTGATTTTTCTCTGAAAGAGAAATTTTAAAGGATTCAACTGCTCAAAATAAATCAGAGGGGCCCTCCCTGGTGGCACAGCATGTTAAAGCACAGCAAAAAAAAGCTAAAGTCACTTTGGCATGAGTTTGATCCCTCCCCTTGAGGTGGCCCAAATGGTGCAGCAGACCTCTCCTGACCCACCTGCTGCTCCCCTCAGCAGTGTACTTTGTCAGTCGGCCTGCTCTGTTCCCCACTCTGTCTCTGGTGAAGCCTCTCATCGCCCCTGCACCTCTAGCCTATACCCAGCTCTGTATGCATATATATATATATATATATATATATATATATATATATATACATATATGTCTTTAAAAACAAATAAGTAAATCAGAGGCCCAGATAAAAGGAATCTCTCTAGAAATAAAATAATGTGAACTAGAGACGGGCATATTCACATGAAAATATGCAGTTATTTGACAGTTTCAGGTACGAATATCTAATGAAAACAATGTTACAATATTTGTAACAAATATGGTTTAATTTTTAATGCCAATTAATGTAAGGCACATTTTAGACAAAGAATAAAACTCAGAAAAGCATATTTACTATCAGTAGTGATTATCTCCCTCCCCAAATCTTTTTGTTGGAATAAGTATATCTTATTCTGATCAGAAAAACAGAAAAAAAGATTGAATTAATATGTCTCAGATTACATAAAGAACAAATGGATATGATGTCAAATATGATGACTAAGAGGGGTCATTTTTTAATCAGAGTAGGTCTGTTTTTCACCTGTCTTAAAAACTTATGCGTCATAGTCTACTAGTCAAAAGACAGTCTTCATCCTGAACTGTTTATGAAGTCATTAAGAAAATCACCAGTTAACCTTTACAAACTAAAAATTAGTCCAGTAGAACATAGGGACTGATACTGAAATTTAAAAATATTTAGGTGTTTTCAAACATTGACTATAAAACTACTGATACATATAAATTTCCATCATATTGCATATTGTATCCTTGTATTTGAATATTATTCTGAGGGTACTATTTCTAGGAGACATGATTTTGTATTAATGGCTTAGGATACATTAAAATAAGGTGTGGCATAATTAGTGAGAAATATGTACAAAGTATTTATTCAAATTTAAATTTGATTATTAATCATTTCTATAATATTGAAAAAATTATTTCCTGTTGTATTACTCAGATGATTAAATGGTTGAACAGTCGCTCATAAAAAAAGATGTTTTAGTGTTTAAATATTAGTCCTTATAGACAGATTTACAACTTCTAAAGCAGTATAAAAACTACTATACTCTCAACACTTCTTCGAATTTAAAGGCCAGAGATAGAAAACACATAGTGCAGTCATATCTATGCTTTCCTCATTCAAATAAAAAATTCATTTTACTCTTAAATATGGAATTAAGGTTTATCTGAGTCAAACTATCCTAAGAATTAATTATAATTGAAATAGAAGAAAATAAAATTGGTAAAGTAAAATCCGTTTAAATACTTCTACAAGAATACTATAGCATTTTCCCAAGAATAGTAGACTATTATCTACTTTACTAGCATAGGTACACAATGCAGTGTAATTTAAGATGAAAATGTCATTAGCCTGTTGTTTAACCAGAGTATAGTTAACACTAGGTGAATCCTCATTCCCCCTCAAGTTCCCTGATAACCTCCCAAGTATTTGGTGTTCTTGGTACAAGGAGACAATACAGACAGCTATCCTCCCCCAACTGTGATCAATTTTCCACTACTCCTGAATCACTACATTTTCCATCAAACACATCTGATCTTTCTGGTGTATATGGTTTCAAAGTGTGAAATACCTATTTCAAAAACATTTTAATTTGTATCAGATATGTGTTATTTAAATTGATAATATATTACAGAAGCATCAAAGGGGCTAAAATTCTGAGACTCTAACATACTCTAGGTTTGAACAAATAAAATAAACCTGAAATTCTAATACTGTTTGAGCCAAATTTCACCATTCATAGGTTAGCAAGAAAATTCAGGCAATTTAATGAAGTAGATAGTAATTCTCTCATCTGGCTATATAGGAAAGGGAAGACAATTCACACCACCAACAAAAATGCTGCTAGAACTAAACTGCCAGATAAAAAAGAGTTAAATATAAGGATTTTTATTCCCTTTCCTTCCCACTCCTAACGCCCAAAGTAGGCAATGACTTTTGTTAAAGGAAAGTCACATAAGATTAAACTGTAAATGATGTTAGTGTATTTTTGACGCTCATATTATTAAGTATGTTTTATATATAAATCTGTGTATATACTCTCATATTTGCACATATGTAACTTTTATGTTTCCAATCATTCCACAAACTTAGATTCATTAGCATTTTAAGCTCCTGTCAGGACCACAGTTGCTATTAGTGGGATAGTTCAAAAAAGGCAAACTTCAGTTCTAATGCAAGTTCTGAGCTATAGTCATCTTGGGAACTGACCTAAGCAACCATTCCTCAATATGCATAATGCATGATAAGTAACTTATACAGGGTTGTAGAGAGAAATAAATCACATAATGTGTGTAAAGCACTTAAAACACAGGGTGAAAAAATACTTTATCAGTAAGTAGGTGTTAAAATTATTAGTGAATTATAACAAGAAAGAAACTAGCTAGGTAACATACATGTGTACTCTGTACCCTATATATGTGGGAGATACAAAACTTTTATAAACAATTTCTTCCTTAACTTAATAATGACAAACATCAATTGATGAAACAAAGTGTGCCGCCATTGTACACCATTGTCAAGGGAAAATCAATGAGCCAGTGCTTTCCGATAGGGATTATTAAAGAGGTAGCTAAGCTGGGCATTAAACAGGAGGCAGCATTCCAGGGAGACTGACTTAAAGAAAGGCACAATACCTGAAATATAAGCTAGTTGTTGCAAAATTACTATACAAAGTGGTTCAGAACAGTGGATGGTGGAAAGGAGGTGGCAGAAGGGGCGACAGCCTACATGAGTGCATGTCCTGAGAAGAGTAAAACAGTCTCATGGGTGTGGGCAAATTTCACCCTATAGAGAGGTGGGAAAGCAAGCAGAGTTTAAACTTCATATGCAGTTAAAAAATGGCCACTCAATGTACGAAAGCAATATACGTGATTTTTAAACTAGACTACAGTTAAGAGAATCAGCTATGAGGGTACTGAATTTTAGTACTCATGATTTTAATGGAAACTGAAGAGATTTTTAATACTTTCCTATAATTCTGCATTTTGATACTGTAATTGAAGATGCCACTCAATTTCAGCAAACCAATCGCTTACAACGTATGGCTTGATCCAAGTGTGTTTCTCTACTGTAGACATGGGTTGGGAGTCAGGCAACTTATGTATCAGACTGAACACAGAGCAAAATAAGACATTTCCACCAATCTCTCCTACTTCACTTTCCTTTTCCTCCCTCTCCACACTGCTCCTTCCCAAATTATAAACTTCATCATATTAGATAGACCAGGTACAGAAGCCATATAAAGAGAATTAAACACAACACTAAAATTATGACCGAAAAAGTCTTTCTTCATTGCAACATGATCAAATATAATGATGCTTCAAAAAAAAAAAAAAAAAAAGGCGAGCTTTGCATTGCCATTATCTGATCGGAACGTGTTAACAGACTGCATAGCCAATATTATTTTTGCTAGTATGAAAATTTTTATGAGGTAGAATCATTTTCTCCAAATGAAACTGCATATCAAACACTAACACATAAAAGAACTGGGGTACGCACTAAGTAAATTTTACACATTTTTAATATTTAATCAAATGAGACCAATGAGGTATCTATAATATACCCTCAGACTTAAATAGGAAGGGAAGTTGAGGTCATTAACCACCCAGGTGACCAAGAAAGCTCTCACTCTGAAATAAGGAACAGTCTCCACAATGTTCTCATATAAGCAAGCA